TACATGTTGAACTTATTTACAGGTCCATTTAAAAATAAATTCTGACCCATTCCTTCGATCCTATCCTCTGGTCCTACTTTCTCCTAGACAGCCGAGATGGTTTTAACAGGTCTGGACTTGATTGATGCCCTTTATTCTTTACCCCACTAAAGTCCACTCCCACTTTCTTCCTTGGCTTTCTGTCCCTACTTTCTCAGTATTGAGCAGGTTGTACATGACCTGGTGTGAAATCCAGAAAGAACTCCCTACTTGGACCGGACATTGCTACCTTTGTGCTACTGCTGAGCCACTTCCCTTCCCTCCCAGTCTCAGCTTACACACACACACACACACACACCCCGCCCACACCTCTTCCTCTGCCTCCTGCTCGGCCTCTAAGTTGTACTTTTACTTGTGCTCGTGGATTCTTTGATACTATAATCTTAACCTGGACGCTTCTGATGAGTATGCTGTAAGAACAAATGACTCCTTATCCTTCCATCTCCCTATAATCTCTCTGAAGAGCACCTCCGCCCCCAGGATCAGCTGACATTTCAATCTAGCCCAGCCTTCTCTATGGCGCTCCAGTCAGCAAGAGGAAACCTCTACATAGATGTCCCAACACACTCTTCCCAAAGCAGGCAGTGCACACTAGAACTCGCTTCTTTCTCTCCATCTCAAACCCAGCAGTTCACTCCCAGTCAGTCAAGCCCAGGCTTTATTCACTCCCTTAGCAGGAGAAACCAATATGCTGTTCCCCACCCTCTGCCTCTGTAGACAGGTTTTCCATTTTGAGAAGATCCCTCATGAGACCACTCCACTTTCATTTCAGAGGCAAGCTGAGTTTGACTGGCTGAAAACATTTTTGAAGTTTAAGTTCCGCATGCATACTAAACTTTGCCTTCCATTTATGGAGGGCAAGATTATCCTTTAAAGCCTCTGTAAAGCTGCCCGTGGGAAACGCAGGCTTTCAAATTAAATGCACATTCCATTAGGATATGTTCTGGATTACCACACACTTTGCAAAAGTCCTTAAACATTTTGAAAACAGAAACCTTTGTCTGTCTGTTTCCACAATGTTTCACTTTACATTATTATTATTATTATTATTAATTATTTTTTTTTTTTTTTGGTTTTTCGAGACAGGGTTTCTCTGTATAGCTTTGCGCCTTTCCTTGAACTCACCTGGTAGTCCAGGCTGGCCTCGAACTCACAGAGATCCACTTACCTCTGCCTCCTGAGTGCTGGGATTAAATGCGTGCGCCACCACCGCCCGGCCTACATTGCCTACATTATTTTTTTTTTAACAAATTAATTTCTCAGTAGCAGTCCTGCTATTGAACAGAGCAAAGCCTAAGGGGCATCATCTTTGCTACCAGCCCCTGATTCACTGGAACTTAAGATTCATTCTCCTAACCCTGGGTCTTCTTGGCTTACTATATCCTTGGCTCATTGTTGTCCTTTTAATTGTTGCTGCCTTTTAAGCCACAACTGTCCGAATCAGCTGCTGGCATCAGTTAGGCTGCCAGGGCCGTACAGAGCTGCAGGGAATTCTGTTCCCGCCGGCTCCGACTCTTGCAAAGCTACGAAGGGAACTTAACTAAACCTCTGTCCGTCTAAAGAACTCAAGATTCAAAGGTTAAAGTGGAACTCTGCTCTTCAGAGAGGCTGATTAGCAAGTAGCTCACCTCCTCTCCTTGCTGGTATCCTCCAAAAAGCTCTCTGCTTCTCCTCCTTCCTTATCAATCCTTTCTCACCTGGCTCCTCCCTACCACTTCCTGTCAGCTAATTGCTGAGGCAGCCTCCTGATAGCAGGTGAATTGTATTTAATCAAACATATCTTTCTATTGCAAAACCAATGTTCCAGAGCATAAACAAAAGTAACACACCTTAAAATAATATTCTACAATAGCTCATGCCTTAGGTGCCTGGGAATAGGGCTTAATTTTATTCAGTAGCCTGGCATCTCCCTCATGAACAAAGGGTATCATTATAGTTTCTCCTGATCTATTCATTAAACTCAGGTTTCTACCCATTTTCATAACAAAACCAAAGACCTTAAATTTTAGAAAATCATCATCCTCACCATACTCAATAATACATGCCTTGTAATAAGACACTTCAGTGCTTCTAATCAGGTACCAAATGTTTTCTTCATTTTTTCAAGCTTGTATTTGTGCAGAATCTCTTTGAGGTTATAACAACTGAAAAAACACACAATACAGGACCCCCAAAATGATGATGCTACAGCACAGTTATAGTCTTTCTGGAAAAACAGTGGCCATGCACAGGAAGGTAGTACTTACATTATACAACAGACAAGACATCAAAAAGTGAATGTTCTTATCCTCAAGGTAGAGAAGAAATGTCTAGATGTTGTGGCTATGCCACAAACACATTATTACTGGAAAAGGAAGTCTGGGGTACACAGATAGCAGGAGGTACTGAGGTCAAGTCCTGAGAACTAGTAGAAATTATTCATAAAGTCATGCTGGATAGGGGGGCACATGCATGCAGGCTCAGAGACAGACATTAAAAAAAAAATGATGTCAAGTCATTTGCATAAGTAGATCATATAGAAACTGAACATAAATGAGATGGACTATAAGAGACCCATGAGGCTAAACCATGGAAGGCTTTTAATGGATACAGCAGATCTCTGAAATTCTCAACCATGGACAGTACCACTTAACAGGTTCCAATTCAAAATTAAGTTTGAAAAGAGGAGGGTGGTTTCTTCATCACCTCAGATCCACAAAGGACTCAAGTTATTTTCACGACATATAACCCTTATTTTTCTTGGAACCACCGAGGTGTCGGTCATAATCTGCATCAAGGCAGCACGACTGGGTGCTGTGCCCGTTCAGTCCTTACAGGAGGAAACCGGACCCTAACGGTACAAACACCGTAGCGCAGCACAGGTCTCCACTTACTTTCATACTACTTTGTGTCCTCCCCTTCCCCCAAATCCAATCTGGTCCTCACTTCGCTAACTAAGTGTAGGGCTGAATGTATTCTACTACCTCTCATAGAATGAACTGAAATGACCTTTCTGATCACTAGAGGTTTGCTTTTTTTTTTTTTCCCCTGAGCATATTCTGCTCATTTCCTGAGCAAATTCCCTCCATGGAGAAATTTACAATGTAGCCTCTAGACACACAGCACTACCACCCACCACAGCAGCTCTGATCTAGAAGGAAACTACTCTAATAAACTGATTTAGAGAATACACGGGATTTCTGAATTTTTTCTAGCTTAAGCCACTCATGAGTTAGGTTCAAAGACTGATTAAAATCAATTAATTATGCGTCTCTCACACTACCTAATTAATTCTTTAATCACTGAAGCTTTTCCTAAAAAAGGAAGGCCCATACTTGCTTTCTGTTCACTAGGATTTACTGATATGTCACAAAAGGCAAAGTTCTGTTTGAATCCACTCCTCTACCCATGTGCTAAGTTTTAAGAAAATCCTTTCAAAGTTTGTGCTGTGGTAAGCCTTCAAATGTCTTTTCTCATGTTCATCTGGGAGATGTAAGAAAAAGTGTAATGAGCCTGGGGGGTTGCTGAAATCCACCAGAGGCCTTTGTGTTCCATCAACCTCCCATGTTAGTAATCGCAGACTTAAAAAACAAGGGAAATTTGACAGAACAGCCCCCAAAGACACTAGTTCTGATCAGCTGTATTGCTAATAACCACTTCTTCTTGGAAGTAGTCTATGGCCTGACTGAGTCTGACTAGGCCAGCCATGAACAAGTTAGGGATGTTAGGGATGGTTCCAGCCATGAACAATTTAGATGTTAGGGATGGTTTAAAAAAAAAAAAAAAAAAAGCCGGGCGGTGGTGGCGCACACCTTTAATCCCAGCACTCCACTCGGGAGGCAGAGGCAGAGGCAGGTGGATCTTTGTGAGTTCAAGGCCGCCTGGTCTATACAGCGAGATCCAAGCAAAGCTACACAGAGAAACCCTGTCTCAGAACCCCCCCCCCCAAAAAAAAGCAACCTATTAAATACAGTGCACAATTCACAGAAAATGTAGCTCATTTTTACACGTAAGGATGTTTTGCCTTCATGTACTTTAAGTGCACAATCTGAGTGGCTAGCGCCAGGAGAAGTCAGCAAGAGGCTATCTAGTCCTCTGAAACTGGCATTACAACTGGTTGTGATGCACCATGTGGGTGCTTGGAACCGAACCCAAGTACTCTGCAAGAACAGCAAGCGCTCTTAACCTCCTGTCCATCTCTCCAGCGGCTTACCATGTTTTAAATAACTCAATTCATGCTTCCCCAAATCATTCTCCGCTTACCTCAGATTAAACGTTAGCGGGAATAATGGACAAAACTGTCTTATAGCAAGCGAAAATAGCTGGCACATGGCTGTTAAAGTGTACTACAGGGCCTGTGGCTTGCCAGGGGCAGTGGCTGCAGACCCATGTTTGGGATTTAGGAATACATAGTGCAGGTGTTTATAGAGTTAGGATTAACGATGGGAGATAAACACACACCATGAGAAACAGGGAGCACTCGGGCCAAGGGACAAGACACAGGTTCAGTCCAGTCAATTAAGAACCATAAATGAAAAAACGTAACAAGAGTTGGCCAGCGGGAATGAGGCAAGAGCCTTACTACAGTTTATTCCTGCCAGCCCTGGGTCCTGGGTGGCCGACTGAGAAAGTCCCACGGTTTTGAGAGCCCATAGAGATGCGTGCCTGAAGCAACGCACCGGGAGGAGCAGGGGACTCCAGCAACCGGGGACTGGGGAGACACGGCCCAGGGAGCTCCCGATTATCCGGGAGCACCAAAGCCCAACAACAATCGCGCTCGCCCCGCCACCAGCGCCAGGCCCAGCCCGCTCCCGCCGCACCGCGCGGGCCGCCGGTGGGAGACACCGCAGCCACGCGAGGAAAGCGAGGGCCACCCGGCCAGCACCCACTCGCACGCCCCTGCCCTCTACACGCGATCTGGCAGCCCGCCGCCCCCACTCCGGCTCCTTGTCTATCCGGAGTCTCCCGAGTTCCGTAATTACCTAAAGCTCCACCGTGCCGCCATCACACCGGAAGAGCGTCACTTCCCCTTCCCGGGTGAAGGCCGAGCGAGAAATTCGTGAAAACCCGATAGTGAATTGACTCTAGTGTGTTATACATTAATGATAATACCGTATAGCAATACCAGAGTCAAAGCAATCCAGCTGGCCACACTCTCCCTCCTTACCAGGACCGTGAGAAAATAGAAGTCCTTGTGAACTACAAAGTCCAGAATCCTCTGGTAGCGCGGACGGAAACGAGATGTAATACTCTGGCAAAGATAACCGCGGTGCATCGTGGGAATTATAGTTCGGACGCCGTAGGCGTTCACAATAGAGAAACTTGATTTTGTGAATTAGGTTTCAAGGCATGCATCTTGTTCTAACACTAATAATCTATTACCGTAAAAAGTAGCTCTAGGTAGTTACTTTCCGTTAGCTTTTTTTTCCCTTCAGCTTAACGTTAAGATACATACGCACGCCTTTAATCCCAGCACTTGGGAGGCAGAGGCAGGTGGATCTCTGTGAGTTCGAGGCTAGTCTGGGCTACCGAGTGAGTTCCAGGAAAGGCGCAAAGTTCCAGGAAAGGTGCAAAGCTACACAGAGAAACCCTGTCTCGAAAAATCAAACAACAACAACAAAGATACATAGTAGGACCGGATGGCTGTGGTGCACTTCTTTAATCCCAGCACTGGGGAGACAGGTGGATCTCTGTGAGTTCGACACCAGCCTGCTCTGTAGAGCGAGTTCCAGGACAGGCTCCAAAACTATGCAGAGAGACTCTGTCTCAAAGGAAAAAAAAAAAAAAAAAAAAAAAAAAAAAAAAAAAAAAGGATACTAGGCAAGAACTCTACCACAGAGCCTTATTATAAAGATCTTAAAAAGAGTAGAGATCGCTTTCAGACTTTCAACAAAAGCTTTGCCAAAAGTATGTTTGGCGAAAAAAGAAAGTGACAAAATGTTAGCATCCATTAAGTTCCAAGATTTTAAAATCAAGTGAACGGAAGTGAATGGAAGATAACCTGACCATAAACGGCATGATGTAATGACAAGCAAATTAAAGGCCCAACGTGGTGGGGCTTACTCCCAGCCCTTGGGAGGCCAAGGCTGGCAGATCTCTGTGAGTTCCAAGACAGCCAGAGCTACATAGTGAGTGCCTGTCTCAATTAAAAAAAAAAAAAAAAAAAAAAAAAAAGCAAATGGTAACGTAGATTGTGATTCTTCTGTCTTAGGTGAAGGTACCAACTGCCAAGATTGGGGTAAAGAGAAGACTAATTTACAGGGTTGGAAAGTGAAATCTGTAAGAGTTCACATCACTGGTATCAATTATACTGCTTCCTTAATCTTTGATTTTCAGTGTTACCAAAATCTAAGCTTTATAGTACTTGCTAATGTGATTGGAAATCTCTTCCTAAGACAACAACGTCTTTATATCTCCAAACGTTTTATAAACTAGGCTTGGTTTTGTAGCATGACCTAATTGGTCTTACAATAAGAACCTGGAGCCTAATATGGGAGTACATGCAGAGAGATCAGAGAAACAAAGGAACAAGCCACCAGAGAAACTTACTACTGCCGTATTCTCAAGCAGAAAAGGAGTGATCCTGTCCTACGAATCCTCAGACTGAATGGCTCCGAGATCCTGTCTCTTCCTGCCTTATATTCCTGTCTCCACCCAGCCACATCACTTCCTATCTCAACCTCTCTAGTACTGGGATTAAAGGCGTGTGTGTGCCTCCCTCTCAAGTACTGGGATCAAAGGCATGGGATCAAAGGCTGGGATTAAAGATGTGAGCCACCACTGCCCGGCCTCTATGGCTAACTTTGGCTGGCTTTGTCCTCTGACCTTCAGACAAGCTTTATTTGTTAGAGCTTTTCTAAGAATTCTGTTTTTGTTTTTTTGTTTTATTTATTTATTTATTTATTTATTTATTTATTTATTTATTTATTTATTTATTATGTATACAGCATGTATGACTGCAGGCCAGAAGAGGGCATCTCGTTACAGATGGTTGTGAGCCACCACGTGGTTGCTGGGAATTTAACTCAGGACCTCTGGAAGAGCAGTCAGTGCTCTTAACCTCTGAACCATCTCTCCAGCCCCGTTTTTTTGTTTTTTTGTTTTTTTTTTTAAAAAAAACAAAAAAACAAAAAACAAAAAACAGAGACAGGGTTTTACTATACAGCCCTGGCTGGCCTGGAACTCACTGTGTTGTCCAGGGTGGCCTTGAACTCAGAGATCCTCCTGGGCTCTGCCTTCCAAGTGCTGGCATCAAAGGCCTGTACCACTACACCCAGCTTCTCTATTATTGTTTTAAGATGAGTGTGCTTTTAGCATTTTCCTGGAGATGGTATGAATAAGAATAAAAATCCTGTGTTGGGTAGTACTTTTTTTTTTTCCCCCCCGAGATAGGGTTTCTCTGTGTAGCTTTGCGCCTGTCCTGGAACTCACTTTGTAGACCAGGCTGGCCTCGAACTCACAGAGATCCACCTGGCTTTGCCTCCCAAGTGCTGGGATTAAAGGCATGCGCCACTACCGCCTGGCTTGGTAGTATGTTTTAATCCCAGAACATTCTAGGCAGACAGATCTCTAAGCATACAAGGCCTGCCTGGTCTACACAGTAAATTCCAGGCCAGCCCAGACTACATAGTGAGACATAGTCTCACAGAAAAAAAAAAATACACAAAACCCCAAAAAGAACAAAGAAAAAATAATAATAAAAACCCTTGGAGATT